CAAAACAGTGATCCGAATTCAGCGAGAAGGATCCATAAAATAAAAACAATGCGCTTCAAGTACTGGGGCATGTTTGCTTAGCTTTTTCGGCGTTGTTCTGTGTATTGTTTCCGACAGGAGCAAGATTCAAGAACAGCGCCAGAGTCCCGTTTGAAAAAGGTGAAGGTGGTGCTTAGTTTTCAGAAATGGGAACAGTAGGGTTTCAACTTTCGGAAGATGATGAAGCTCCTCCCAACGTACCCATCTCAGCGAAGAAAAAAGAAGTACTAAGGCCTCGTTTTTCCTTTTCCTGTTACCCATAAGATGCTAAGCCAACATTAATGTTCCATAAACCCGTGATGGTTCCAATTTTGGCCTGCTTCAAGATTTTTGAATGCGTCTCCTTCACAAATATTAAAAGCTTAAGCCAATTTTAATCCAAAAAGCTTAAACCAGGCCAATCGTTATATATAACTCCATTGCAATTATTTATTTCTTTATTCCCAACGATTCTTGAATTACATGTGAATCCCAACAACTAATCTCCTCCCCCTTAAATATGACACTTTTCTAAGGTATTCCATACTCCCTTATAATATCATCGAGTCACCAACTAAGAGCCATTTGCTCATGACCATAAGGAACCATCATTCAACTGCCATGTGCCAAATGAAAAATCATCCATAGATGGGTCAAACAATGTAGGATTGTAAACAGAATGGATCGGATTTGGCAAAGGTTGGTGTATTCCATCAGATCTGTTAAGAAATCCAACTGATCTGAATCCGATAAAAATCCATTAGATTTTCAATAGCATGATTAGAATTCGAATATCTTATTCAATATCCGATTCCATTAGAATTGTAATAAAAAACTTAACTACGATATAATATATAATATTTCATAACTAACGGATCGGATCTAATTGTGGAGGATCAGACTCCCATATTTCATTATGGGAGTCATTACATGCATCTAACTTGTGTCCACTCAAACCTTCAACTCTAATAATACTAGAATTGCACAATGACGAGAAGTACCATAACCTAGAAACTCATCAATACACATAGACTTTTATACAAGAATTAAACACCACCTTTGACTTAAAAGCTTAATCAATTAAGTTGATTAGAATATTTATCCTTTTATAAATATATATATATAATTCACTCAGCAAGAACCTTATAAGTTGATTAGAATATTGGACATTGGTGTTGCAATGCCTGTCATTCAGTATAAGAAAGAAAAAAAAAAAAAGGTTTTAACTAAAGGTGTGTTTGACAACAAGGTTGGTTTTATTTATAAAAACAAAAATAAGTATCGATCGATAAAATTAATTATATTGTTTTTACTGATATGGCATCACAGTTGTTTATATTTTTCAACCATGTTGTCCAACACCCTCCAAGCTGAATCACAGATAACACCTCCTTTAAGCCAATTTTGTTTAATTTCCTATTGTATCAAAGAGGCTGTCTAAAAACTAATCGAGTTATTGTAGCAACGTATTGAAACTGCAGAGGCTGAAGTGTATAATTCCTGTCTTAATGTCCCTCTGAACACCAGTAAATAGTACTGAAAAAGCCATAAAGTGGGCTGGTACCTTGTTTACATGAGAGATGGTCGGTAGATGTATAATTCTTTCATTCTAAATTGTGTAACAAGTGGACATCATGTAGGAATATTCTTGTACAAAATAAAAAAGTCAGGCAGGGTTAGTTGGATGTATGTAGCTATCACATGATTAAATCTTTTGGGTAACAAGTTGTACCATCATCCAACCATATATATATTATACTTTGAGTTTTGTTCTAGAAAATTTAAAATGCGTTTCACTCTTCGATCAGAGATTCAAGACTAGTTGAGGACCTGAGCTTAATTTAATTAATACATAGCCTTGTCATAATTCTTTTTTGTGGTATTGGCCCCAGTTTTTTCTCTCTAAGGTATGGTCTCACAAGGATTAAATATACCTATGCTTGTTCATTTTAGGAACCATTTGATTTGATGGCGTAGTTAGATAAAAATAACAAGAAATGATTTAAGCACCGTTATTCAAAGATGAATATGGCATGAAAAAAAAAATAGAATGATAAAACTGGATTCATTCAGTTAATTAGGGCAGGGTCTGACCTGATGGACCTGATGGGACCGAACCAATTGTATCAATTCTGCTTCCAGGATTTAGACCAATAGGTTGGTTCCTCCTATTCTTGTTTTGTGGTCCCGATTATTATTGGGTCAGCACCGGTTCAACTGGTTCAGACCCAACCCGATCCATATACCCAAGAACTGATTACTTGCAGTTTTGGGTCCAAAATTACAGACCCTATAAGATCTGATTCAATTTTGGAACCTTGACATTTCTCATTGGTTTGGGACTGGTTCTACCTTGTCCCAATCCAGGCCCGACTCTTTGAGAGATCTCCATGCATGTAATTGGGATGAGATGATGATGAGACAAAAGCTGTCTGTATTTGCATGGTTGGATGGATTTCAATTACAATGTATGTTTGTAGGTGTTAGGGGAGGAATTTCTAGTTCTACTATGGTTATCTCACTCACATGACAACTAATGGCCCATACCGAGAGAGATGGAACATGGAAGATGCTGAATTGCTGATAAATTAAATGAGACAGACCTACACAACGCGCTTAGTAGTACTGGGGAGACCTTAATTAAGCCTTAACCCTTTTCATCTTGCTGTTTTCTTTCCTTTTTAAAAAATAAATGAAATGACGAGTAATAAAGTAATAAAGAGGAACATGTATAAGGTTTTCCTAAAACCGAGGTATTCAAATGGTTCCAATCCAAAGCGCGGGTGCCCCCTCCTAAAGCTCTCTAATGATATTTTATTTTATCAGTTATTAGCTGTAGATGGGGAAATTTGTCCACCAAACCCCATGAGATTCCGAGTCTCTCTTTCTTCCATTGTCTGTACGACTGAGAGAATTTACAACTTGAAAATTGAAATTACCCCCAATTCAGTCTGACTGTCTTTGTAAAAAAGAAATAAAGTTGAATAAAGAACAACACTACACAGAGACAGAGAGAGGTAACGAAAAGAATAATATGTTACAACGTCTAGATTATTGGATCTGAACGGTGAACGGTGAGAAAATAAGAGGAAAAAGAAATGATGGGTCGGGTCACAATAGTAGATGGAGGGTGGGGCACAGAAAACAGGGAGACGGGAGACCGGAGAAGTGTCGTTTGCTTTTTTTTTTTTTCTTCTTCTTCTTCTTTTTTCACCCTTCTGCGGGTGCCGACGACGACTAGTAGTTCCAATTCAATCTTCAACGAAAGGTAATGATCAAGCGCCACATCCCAACCAAATGGTCTGATAACCTAAAACAAAATACTGTACTGTCACCACCCTATTATCATAACTTGTTATATATACTGCCCCTCTTTGGTCTTTGCTTTGCTGTTCAGACTTCAGAGTCAGACACCACACACCATGGCAAGGCCACCGTAAAAATAAAATTAAAAAAAAAAAAAAAAAATTCTATTGGGTCCCATCAGGTGATCTTTTACACTGCCCATTGGGTCCCACATTTTGATTTTCCTTTGGCTTATACTTCCCCCACCTGTCCTCTCTCTCCTTTCCTCTCGCCATTCAAATAGAATCCCCTCACTAGTCACTAGTCACTAGTCACTAGTCAGGTCAAAATAATAAAGGAAAAATTGGCTATGTCAGCTCATTCCAACTCCATAATCCATGCATGCAAATAAGGCAAATGTCAATCAAATCCAACCAGGCAGAGAGGGCGGAGAGCAGAGCAACTTCTATTCCGTTCTTCGAAAAGGTCATTTTCGTCATTGTGCACACCAATAAAAATTGGTTAGAAGGTACGCTTACGTTACGCTTTATTTTATTATTCCTGCAATTGCATCTTCCTTCCTCCCTCCCGCTGTCAATGTGAGGACATTTAGGTCATTCCAAATAATTAGGACGCCAGTTAAAGAGTAAAAGAGAGATCATGCGCTATTTGACAAAAGTACCCCTCTCCTATTTCCGTGCCAACTGTCAACAACAGAACAGAGAACAGAATCGAATCGACGCGACGCTGCGGATACCGCCTGCCATTCACGTTAATAATCACTATCAGATGACGAATCCATAATTAGCAGCAATTACACCCACAAAATACAATTTGGAGGGCAGTTAGACGTCATTATCCATTTAATGATAGGGGTCTTTTAGGCAACTAAAAAGTAGTTTGCCCGTCTCTCTTGGCTTTGGCTGTAAGTTGACAAGGCCCCCCCGGCTTGGGATCGATTCCCTCCATCAACCGAGTTAGGGACTTTAGGGGGTTAGAGCCTAGTTAGTACTTAGTAGAAGGGCCTGCCTAGGGGCGTGGGAGTCCTTACCTGAGGGGGGCATGGGTAATTTAGTCATCCAAACAAAATAAAGTGGTGAAAGCGAGAATTCCTGGGTTCTGTTAACCACATATTTAACCCACCGTATCTGGCTACGTGGCAAATCGTTTCAAGTTTGAACGCGTTCACATGCTTGGCCTCGTCATCTCCTCTTAATTCTTAACACCACACTAAAACCTACCGTTGAAAACAAGTCAAGGAACATTGAACCCCACTTTCATGCCACTCCCCTGCTGCCTTTTCTTTTCCTCTAATTTAATTTTCAAATTTTGAATTAAAAATATTTCCCATTTTTTTTTCTTTTAATAAATAAAAATAAGAAACAAAAAGTAGTCAAATTATGACATGCCCCAATATTAGCTGCCATACCTGTAACTGTATGCAGATGTTGTATGCTTTTCTTTTCTTTTCTTTTTTTTTACTTTTTATGTAAAATAAGTAAAAGAAATAAGTGTTGAAGATACAACCAACAAAATCAACTTTTTTTCAGCAAAAATCATAAGCAGCAACAAAGCTCGAGACCTTCAGTTAAATGATCACTTGCAATTTTCTATTTCTTTTCTTTTTCACTTTCAGTAAATTACTGATGAGGATCCATCAAATCCCCACCTCCTTTTAATAATTAAAACAAACAAAAGAAACTAACCCCGAATGATTATTTCGATCATCTTTCAGTCTGAGACCAAGAAGACAAATTGTTAGAGAAAGAATAATATCAAGTAATCAAACCACCAAAAAAAAGAGGTGAATATTCTATATATGTACATGAAACAATCCACCAAAGTCCACAAGGTGCTCTCATGGTGCCCGAATATCTTCATTCGCCATTGAACATAATGTAGGAAGAAGAACCCAGTTGCAGTCTCAGAACTCGGACATGGATTATCCGAGAAAAAACGTGGAATTGCTCGGGCTGGGGCGGGAATTAGATGCTGGCCAGGACTTGGAGATGGAGAAAAAAATTGTGAAACTCGAATATGTGGGGGCTCCTTATAGACAAAATTACAAACTGGTCTGTCAAAATCAAGCAAAAGGCCGCGGCAAGAATTAGACAATGGTCAAGATCAAAGAGAAAAACTTGCCATGTACATTTACAGCAAAAAAATATATATTGAGGAAAGAAAATGACCAACCTTTTTTGGTTTCTGAGGAGGGGGGAAATGTCACAATCACCCCCCTTTGAGGCAGAGAATTTCTTCACTGTCAGTCTGGGCCTGCAAAACAGGGACCAAATAACAGATGAGGGTAGGGAACAATTAGGATCTTGACTGAAAAAAAAAAATTGCTTTCAAGGAAAGTAGATGCAATTTACGGCACCACTTTCAGATAATATGCCAATAGCCAAGTACATATTCTGTTTGATTTATGTTATATTCTATCTGAGATATGTTTGCAAGATAAGATTACTATAACCCACACTTGACAAATTTGTCAAAAGAGACAGAATTTGTTTAGCTTCTAAGATGCATAAAGAATTGCTAGCTCAAAAAACCATTCACCGTCCAAATTATTTAGCTTGAAAGCCCTTGGTGAAATTACTAGCCTCCTTATGAATTCTAAAGTTTCAAAAGCCCGACCACCAATTAAACTCAATAAGGTAAAAGTAGATGAAGTGATCACCTTGGAGAGAATCCATCTTTGTTATAAAACCCTTTGGTGGGATTCATTTACATGAAAACCTGGCATAGAAACCAATTAATTAGCAGGAAAAAAAATTCAAGTAAATTCAACAAAGATTATTAAAATCCTTCCCATATTTCACAAATCAAAAACAAATTCTTTCCCATATTTTGGTACTTTACCTTGGGGGTAAAGATGATTGAAGCTTTGATTTTCTGGAACCGCTTTAGTGCGCTCCTGGAGTCAAAATGTCCATTCTTTTCTGCAGACAACTTCATGCCTCCCTAAAATCAATAAAAGAAAACCTTCTAGACTCAAAACAATAAAATAAAGAATACAAAATAGATAGCTGAGAGAGAGAGAGAGAGAGAGAGAGAGAGAGAGAGGGGGGGGAGGAGGGAGGGAGGGAGCATACTTGAATGTGAACTTGGTTTCAATACGTCCTCTAAAAGAAATTCAGTTCAGTGTATCCATGTGAGTGTGGCAACAACTCTTCTACCTCAATCCTGGCACTAGAGCAACTCATGTTTTTCTTAATTCGATTACGGCTAATCGACTCAACCTCTGCCAAAAAAATGCTATAGACAGGTCTATGATCCGAGAACCTAGACTCGCCACGAACATAAGACAATTGATGGAGGCCCCTTCCATACCACAAGATACGGTCACACCTTCACATGCAAACGGATAGCTAAATCAGTATTGATTGACTGTATTGTTGTTGATTGTTACCATGTTCAAAAATATATCCATGTTTCACAAAAACACATAATCTTATATTCTTCCTCTTTAAAGTGTCTGTATGTTTGTTTGACCTATTTCATGATTTTTGGCAATAGAAATGTGTTTACCAAGCAGGGGTCCGTCTCTTCTCCTTAGGGTGCAGATCATCCCCAGCATATCTGTCTGAGTTGTTTGAATATTTGTATGTAGGTGGGAAATATATCCTTCCTTCATTCCATCCTTCAAAGACACGACCCCGTCTCTGCTCCAAGCGAAGCTGCAATGGAAGTTATTGTAGATTCAGATTGACATGTTTTTGCAATTTGTAGAGAAAGAAATACTTCAAACACCAAGAATAGGAACCAATAAAAGAATTCAAGAGAAAGTCATGCCTGATCATTCTCTAACAATGCCCTCCAGTTGTGCATCTCAACAAGTGCCTTTGCAGAGCGATAAGATAGAGCAATCCGGTAATTCAAATCCCCAAGCCATATGATTCGACTGCACAGAGGAATTCTGATTAGACTTGAGCAAGAACAGAGTATAATTAACCTGATTAAAACTAATCATTTAAAAACAATCAAAAGTAATCAGAGAATAAGTAGAACAAAGCAAATTTCAAGGTAAAAAATATCTAGTAACAGGCTTGACCAACAATGAATTAACGAATTGATGAACAAATGGTCTTACTCATGCTCAAGGATTGTTTCAGGGGACTTCTCATCCCCTACCCCATGAACCCGTGGAAATTTGGTCTTTCTCAGGATCTCCATAACATCTGAGTTCCTTCTTAGTTCATCTCCCTCTTTCTGCCCAGATGTTAAATGACTACAGATGAAGCAAAAGCTTGTTTGATGCAAAGACATGCTAATTGAGATTGAGCCCTGGAAAACCTCAAGAATAAGATTGCCTCCTTTTCAAGGTCCAAGAAATATTCAGCCAGAGGGATTCAAAGAACAAATAAAACTAGCTTGAATCATGCGAACAATATACCTTATTTCCGAGATAACCCATCAATCCTCTGCCAACACAGGAAACTTTCATGTTGCGAACATCATCTCTGATATCACTCCTCACCCACACCGTGAGAAATATCCCAACCATTTGTTTACTTGCAACTAAGCAGTACCTTGAGTGCCCTGATGATCTTTCTCTGTCCTCCATGGATGTGGACCCTCCATAGGACATTGGTGAGAAGAACATGGTACTTGGTGAATCCCCAGGCCCGTTCTCATCATCAGAGGAACCCCATCTGAAATTGGGATCAAAATCACTTGGCCTGTGACCAAAAATAACCCGATCACAGACACTGAATCTTCGATCAAGTCGGGGTTGTGAGATTGACATGTCATTATCCATTCTCATGCTACGACTTAGAGACTGAAATGACCGGCGATGAAAGAAAGATGAGGTTTTCTGCCTTGTTGATCCCTCAAAATCTGCATCCAATTCCACAATCGGATCAGGAATTGGGGAAGGTGTGTGGTAACCACCACTTCCACTGGTGCCAGGAAGGTTGTTCAAAGTCTTTCGAATGAGAGCCAGCCATTTCCTTGCAGGGCCATTGTCCTCTGCTCCCAAAACATTTCCAGCATTCAGAGGAACAATTTCTTGAAATCTAAAAGAGAAAGGAATCAAATAAGGTTCTGTTGACATTGTGGCAACTGCAGAGTTGGAGAATAAAAGACGAAATTATAAGAGAAAACGTGTCTAAACACCAACATACCCAAGGACATAAATATCTGCAGGAGGTGATGTATGGAGCCAATCTTCCAGATTTAAGCAACTTGGAGGAGATTTTCCACCAACATTCCATGTCGCTACAAAAATCCTACTCGCCCATTAAGAGAGGAAAAAAAACAGTTAAGATTAATTTCCTGCTGAAATATAAGGAAAATTCGTAAGACAAAAACATACCTATAGTTTTGGACATCTGTAACTTGAGCGCCATCAGGATCAACCTTCCCTCGCCGGGCCCGATCAGAACTCCTCTTGTTCAATCTCTCTGTGCGCCCAAGCGGGGGAAAACATATTAATTGAGAAAAATAAAGAAGCATAAACACCATCTTTGAGAGTTTTTGGGTGGGGTTGGAAGGAGCTTGTCCAAAGCTATACAGGTAATCTGATACTGAACCTGTTTTGCTTTTCTTGATCGTGCATGCCTCCCTCTCTGAGAAACTGTTCCGCGGTTCTCCTTCGCCACCTAAAAAGAAGAAATATAAAGTTGTTAAAGCCGCGCTTGATCATGACTTATGCATTAACCCCACATCGTCAAACTCTATAAACAAAAGAGAAAAACTATTTCTGAACTTCAAGTAGAAGGAGATTTTAAGTCTGGAAAATAATTTGTTGAACCCATTAAATCTGAAAGATGGTTGCGGAAGATAAATACTGATGGAGAAAAATTGACGTGGGCAGGTCTCCAGAGTCCAGAAGAAATTACAGGAATGAATCAAGCGGTGGACTTCGTTGCAGAGTTAAACCCATTTTTTCTTTCTGATGTTCAAGTTAAGATTCCCATTGCCTAAACCCTAATTTCTATAAAAAGAAACCATCATGTGCTAAGTGAAGATAAAGAAAAGACCCAAATCGCAGAAAAAATGCGGAAGGTGAATAAAAATCGGATTATAAAAACCACCTTCGTAAAAGATATCATCTGCGTGGAAGTCTTCAGCCTTGCCCTTGATATTGAACCATTTCCTGACCAGAGTCTTCGACCATGAGAGCTTCACTCAATGAAAAAAACAAAACAGAAATTAGATAGCGCGAAGACAAGTCAACAATCTCGGAAGCTAAAAAACCAAAATGCAGAAAAGAAAAAGAATGAAAAACCTTGCTTTTCTTCGGGTTTCCATCTCTCATTGTTTCACAAGCACTTCGTACAGCTCTCCTGCTCAAAGGAATTGGTGGTTTCTATTTCTGTTTTCTTGTTCTTCGGGTTTATGGGTCTTGCTTATAATGGACTGAAGAACGAAGATAACAAAATTAAGCTAGAGGGATAGCTCAAGAATTTAACGGAAAGAACCCCAAAATAGGGATTCTTCCCCCACTACCGGGTAAAGTGAAGGAGAATCAAAGAGAAGAAGTTTGAGTTCTCTGTTTTTCTTGGTTCTGGTTTTCTCGAACTGATGAGGACAAGGTCATTATTTCTTAATAAAGACGAAAATAACGAATGGGGGTAATCTCCTACTCACTGCTCCCTCTCAGTTCATCACTAAAAAACAATAGAACCCAAGGAAGAGAATCTCAGCTTCCTAATGTTCGGGTTCCTGGGTTTTCCACAATAGATAGGACCCAGTTCAAAATGCCCAAAAGAAATGGGTCTCTACTTCTCTTCCTCTTCTGGTTTTGTCTATAGAAAACAGAGAACAGAAATGAAAAGAAACTCACAAACTCAAAACTGAGGGAACAGAGAGAGAGACAACACACTAATGCGTGGAAGTGAGAAGATGAGATTCTGAATGTAGAACAAGACAATGTATCATCAGACATAAAGAGAGAGAGAGAGAGAGAGAGAGGTCTTCTATCTCTCCTCAAAACCTCGTTCTTGGTACAGCAAAGTATCGAATTTGAAGAGAATAAAGTGCAGGGAAGCTCGCTCTCGAGGCTTTTTACCCCAAATCCAAGGCCAACGCAACAGCGTGCAAATGGATATATCGGTCACACCCCCAACATAAAACTGCCCGGGCAGGGGCAGCTGCCCGTCCTTTCCCTCCCCTCCCCTCACTGCACTTCCCCTACCCTCGGTCAGCAAAGTTACAGTCATCTAATACCCTAACTGTACCCTTCCTCCCATCCGGTCTTCCATGAGAAAAAAGCAGTTAAAGAAGAAAAAAAGATAAAGGGGAATGTAGGAACGAAGAGTTTGTTTCTCTTTCTTTGCTCCTTCTTTTCAATATTTTGAAAACCTAGATCTCGAACACGCTCAGTTTATATCGTATCTCATTTGTAATTTGTTAATGTTTTTAGGGGTAAGTGTGTTTATTTTTATGGGGGAATGTCTGGAAGGAATTTTTTTTGTATGGGAAGCGGTGGATCTCCAATGTGAATGTGTGTCCCCCTTTGTTTTCTTGGGTTTGATCCTTTGAAGATTTTTATGATATCTAGGGTTTCTTGGGTTTAACCATTTTGTATTTGCATCTCCTAAAAATACTTCAATTTCATCTGTTGCTTTTTTGTGGAACCAATGTGTTTAGCTTGTTTCTCTCTACAACTTGAGTTGGGTTAGTGCATGGGTGTGACTTGTGAGGAGTTGTTGGACAATTTTAAGATCGTTTTGGCTCAATCTAGACTTATGTCTAGGGTAACAAAGGCAAACTATCTCAATTTAGGGCTTGAGTGCTCTTTTTATTGTTCTAGTTCTTTGGAGCTACCAACTTGGTTTGCATGGAATGGGGACCCAAATTGCATTGGTATAGGATCTTGTTGGGCTATCCGGGGTTTTTGAACCTAGCCCAAATTCACCCTATTAAGCAAGGAAGTACTCCCCAGTCCCCCACCCACCCACGCCCCTTCTGGGGGATTGTGCCTGTGTAAGCTAAGCTATCTATACTATATATTTTCTCTCCAAGTCCAAGCCTCATGGCTTGAACAAAGCAAGTCCTTGGTTTAAGCCCTTCTATTCTAAGTTTGAAATCTTGCTTGACCATGACCAGCCTTACAACACATGCCTCATGTGGGAGACTGTGTCTGGTTCCTCTTGGCTTAGTCCAACTTCTCATACTTCTAGGGTCTCTTCTCTTGCAATCAAGTAATGTATTATTTTATGTGTTCAAGTATTAAACTAATTCAGTTGACGGCGGAACAATCCAAGGCACGGCCCCGTAAGCCCTACTTACTACTTACTGTTCATCTCCAAATTGGGAATCCCTAACAAACCTGAAACACCCTCCCACCAGGCACCAGGCACCAGCCCCACTACTTGGTAGTGAACTTTCCACTACCATCATAGCCATAGCCCCAATGGGTCCCAGACTCTGTGGGCCTATCTCTTAGCCTCATGACATGGCGTTTGGTAATTGTTTGTTACTACAGATAGAGATGGACAGAACTAAGTGGGAGTGGCCTCTCCTGTCAATTCTGTTCTCCATGTTTTAACAAGGTAAGGTAAGACTCCCCAACTCTCAATACTGAGTTTTACTTTTACCCATCAAGGTTATCTGATCAGATAATATCAATATTTATTGTAATTAAACATGTAGATGATGTGCTTATTTTTGTATGAAATTCTGGAACCATATATATAAATGCCATTGTTTGCTTCCCTTAATGTGGGTCTTAGCAGGAATCATCGTTTTTGAAGCAATGAAGAAAAGATGAAGTTAGAATAATACATCAACAACGTTAAAAAGCGAAGAGATGTATCAAAAAGAGCAATGGGACCCCCCTGTTTGAAGTAAATGCGTATCTAAAGAGCAAGAGAGGAGGCCCTACATTTGAAATCTTTTGTGTTTTCTCCTCCCCCTCCCCATGACTGACTACTGCTCTCAGAGAGCCTTGATACACCACTGTCATAAAATGGGATCTTAAGAGGACACCACACCATATACATGGATGGATTCAATAAAGACACATGATGAATTTATGATTCCAATCCCCCTCCTGGCATCACCTGTACCTTATCTCCTACCACTAACCATCCGCCACGTGTCCCCCGCCTCGACCGTGCCTGATTATTCAAAAACCAATCTTATATCCATCTAAACCATCCAATTATTACCTTAAGAAGCATGCAAAGCCTTCATCTTCTCTCCCTTTCTTTCTCCCAATAGGAATATATGCCATGCATTAATTTCCATTCATTCACTTTGACCAATAAGATGGCCGGAGCCCATCCCCTTGAAAGTTAATTGTTAATCCTCAAAGCCATAAGAACTAAGAGAACATATGGCTCCAACTTGTTCAACTCACTTCATCACTACAAACCTACTTCTTGCTCATCCAAGAGTTTTTATGTCTTAACATGGACTAGTATTGAATACCATATATCTCTCTACCCATTTTCAATACTAAGTACAAAACAGAACCTAGTCTGTCATCCCACTTCTTAACTCAAGCAGTCTATCAGTCCAGTCCTGATCTTAATGAGTTTTGAGGTGAGAGATGTCCAATATGAGAGACGTTGGATTGTTATTATCAGTGATGTAGGACCCTCCTCAGGGAATGAAAATTGCTATTAACCGCCTATAATTTTAATTTGTTAAAGGGCAATACATTTATTCAGAAAATCCAGTAAACTATGTTGTCAGCTTGATTGAAGCTGAGTTTAGGTAATAAATAAGTATAAATTTAAATATTAAAAAAAATTGATATATTGGTCATCGCGCATGTCTCTTTTGCCACGTGTTACTTTTTGACCTAGGAAGGATGAAATCTTGATCTTCATTGTATTTTACAGTATGTTGATTAAAAAAATAGAAACATATAAAATTTACATTCTAAGAAGATCTTCTACTTTTGATCTCTTTAATCGTTTTTCTTTTTTATTTTTTCGTATGTTCGATTTTCCCAAAATGCCCTCATTCCAATCAAACGAAAAATCATGAATCACGAGGCAGTCAAAGGGTGATCTTTGATTTTGTACTTTGGCCAAAGTATCTTCTCTCTTGGGGAGGGGAAGAGGAGGGTTCTGTTATCTTTTGCTTTTCAGCTTTGAAACCCCTTGTTAAGCGACCAATCTCTTGCTTAGCATAGCTTTTACTCCTTTTTCTTCTATACGGTTTTACTCATTTTCAGGTGTTGTTTGGGCTTTTGGGTTTTAATTCTTTCCTTTTCCAAGAGCTTTCTTGTGTTATTTTCTTCACATCTGCCACCGAAAAAATAAATATATACATGTCCAAAGCACCTTTGCCCCCCTTTGCTTCTGTATGTCCTGGTACTTCGCATCCTTCTTGTCTCTCTTAACGTTTATCATCATGTAAAGGTTACCACGTGGCTTGATGACGTGGTGAATTCGAGCCATCCATCAACTAGGGGACACTCTGTTTTGACCCACCTATATATAAATTGAAACTCATGGTCCAAATCGGTCAATCTTTTATTACCAATCCTTCTTATATATAGATCGAGGGATGACTTTTCACAACATGTATGGCTCAAATTTGACTTATTAGTATAGGTCGATTAGAGGAACTTGTTGGACCCTTCTGGGTTCTGGGCCAAAACTAACTTAGCCACGTGGAAAATTTTTTGGTCATTCAGATTTCTTGGTTGAGGAATTGAACTAGAAATTGCATTTTTTAGTACTTATAGATGAGATATTTGGACATGTGGCTTAGGCATGGAGCAAAGATCTGCCTTTCAATAGATTCCATGTTCAATACATAATTACAAATAGAAAATTGGGGCTACTAAATACTAATCGTGTTGGAATTAATGATCTCTTCTTAGTCAGACCCTGGGCAAACTTGTAATTCATAAGACAGGCTAGATGAACCGGTCTAACCAATGAAGTAGGGCTTTATGGGTGAGTTTTCAATTTCTGGGCTTGCAGGGGGGACCACCACATTTTCTAGGTCGACTCATCAGTCCATTGGTCCAAGAAGACTGACTTCATCAATGTTGTAGAAATCGGTCTTTTCATATGGCGGAAATTAGCCAAAACAGCCATTAATGCCCTCAATTGGTTGGGTCCGGGTCTAATCAAGGTAAACCTGGGTCCGAGTCTACCCACCCAGAGCGTATGGGGTCAATGATAATAAACTTGGAACTGACCCAATTATTAATCAGACCTATCATGTTAGACCCAATAAGACCCGACTAAAATTGAGATCCAGGTTTTTAAAACTGAATTGGACAATGGACCGGTTAGGGGTCTGATATTTGGGTCGAATGGTCCAATCATTTATATCGAACGGACAGCCCGTTTTGATAAAAAATAAAAATGGTCAAAATCATTGAATAGTTCAAACAATTCAACCGTCCGAGTTAGCGATTTACTGACCAAATCAACATTTTTTGACAAAATTTTAATTTTAAGAAAAAACAAAGCCAGTCACCTGACTGGTCCTCGGTTTTTCCGATCCGGTCGGTTTTAAAAACCATGATTGAGGTCATCGTCGGTCACCAAGTGCAAGATGTTGCTAAAAGCCTGAACCGAGATAATATACGTACTCCCAACTGCTGATGCAAGTTTCAGGCTTCCCATCAAAGTCATTAACCGTTGCCAGCAGCAATACTGTTGCCTGGCTTGCAGAAATTGTCAAGCTTTAAATTACAGTGGAGAGGACTCCAACAAAGATTACGGTGGCTAACTGGCTAAGATGAAGTTGGTTCGATTAAATGCCGGTTTTTATATTGATTAATCGAAACCCTGCAGATTTTCAAAAATATCGAACCAAAACCAAATCGATTGGTTCGGCTAACCAAAATTTTTGGTTTTTGATAACTACCCATATTTTAAAGCACTCAGTTGTTTTAAGCTATCCAGACTTTTTATCAAACATAAATTATAGACAGTCTTTGTGGGCCCACCTTAGAAACTAAAATTAAAGACATGCTTTAGCCCTTTAGAAGAGGCATGAAGCATGCATGGGTTTGGCTAGACTTGATTGGAGCTATATTTGAAATCCAAATCCAGTGGTGTTAGAAAATAAAATCTATTCAGGGATTTCACGTAACAGCTTTTAAGTTTTGAAGGGTCG